ACATGTATGGTACCTTAAACCAAGCATTTGTTTTTATTTGTTAGTGTGTGTGTTTTACTATTTGTGTCAGCAAAATCGTGTGTGTGTGTGTGTGTGTATTCACCTATTTGTACTCACCTATTTGTGCTTGCGGGGGTTGAGCTTTGGCTCTTTGGTCCCGCCTCTCAACTGTCAATCAATAGGTGTACAGGTTCCTGAGCCTACTGTGTGTGTGTGTGTGTGTGTGTGTGTGTGTGTGTGTGTGTGTGTGTGTGTGTTTGTACGTGTGTATGAGAAATATATGTAGATCTGATGAAGGAAAAATAGGTTGTTAGTCAGTATATCGGAGAACCGACGATTAGAAAGGCGGGGTCCAAGAGCTAACAGCTTGATCCTGCAGACACAAATTGTAAATAAAAGTATTAAATACACACACACACACGCGGTCAACATTCGCAATTGTTTATCCAGGGACACAGGTTCGATACCCGGCCAAGACAGAATTAACTGGTTTCACCCGATGCGTCTGTTCACTTAGCAGTAAATAGTTACGTGAGTCAGCTGTCACAGGCTGCATCCTGGGGATAAGGATGTCGTCTCAATGTTGTTATCTTTCCCAATTGGGTTCATGGCATGATGTGAATCAGTATATTACGAGACGTTCACCTTTACAGGAAAGCCGAGTCTCAGTGCTCGTATCTAGCTAAGTATGGTAGGAGTCTGTCAGCCTTGAGAGGCTTGTATGGGCAACTATCACGCAGATCCTGTCTGATGGTGGCGGGTGATGGAGGGTGGCCTTACCCTGTTCTCATGTGGTGGACCATGGCCCAGCCCGGCCCAGCCTGGCCCAGCCTGGCCCAGCCCGGTCTGGCCTTCTCCTAAAGCGTTTAGACAACCCTCTGCTGCATGTAATGTGGGAGCCATGGCATTAGATGACCGACAGCTGCAGGCCATGTAGTGCAACTGGGGGCAGAGTAATGCCAGACTCCTCCATGGAGCGTACTGACAGCGGGTACAAAATGCTAAACCTATCCAATATCAATAAAAGATATGTCTGTCTGTCTGCCTAAAGTAGTAGGCTCGACCATTGGGACTATCCTCACCCCAGCTTTACAGATGTTACATGGGGGGTATGGGCATGTCATAGGCCAGTTGGGGGTCTGAGCGACCCCATGTAATTTTCATAAGTCTGAAATCAAGAATTTGTTTTCCGTATAATATTTGTTTTATCAGGTTCGTAATATTACATTTTCTGAAAGAGAGGGGAAGGAAGGAGATAGGAGGAGAGGGGAGGGGGAGATGGGAGAGAAAGGGGAGAGGAGATTTGGCAGTAAAGGGAGGGATGGAAGAGAAACACACACACACACACACACACACACACACACACACACACACACACACACACACACACACACACACACACACACACACACACACACACGCACATACACACACACACACACACATACACACACACTTCCCAGCTGGACCCCACACATAAACATTGACCCCAGACGCACCCACCTCCTAGTTGGACCCCACATGTAAATGGAGAGTGTTAGGCACTCTAACTCTCATAATGTTAGAAGCTCTCACAATAGAAGCTCTCGTATTGCGCTCCAAATATCATCATGTGCCCGAGGCGAGGTACGGCAGAAAGTGCAGAATATACCTCGGGGCGTCGAACGGACGCCAGTCAAGAGCACACACCGACGTGCCAGTCAACCATATTCCAATAGAATACTAACAATATCGCTGCAACAGAAGCTGGAGTCTTCCCAAAAATTTGTAGATAACGGAGGTTTCGAGCCCCTTCTATTACCTTTTATCGGTAGTTGATAAGTTTCATTATGTGCCAGAGAGCCCCCGCCCTCAGCCACAGAGCCCCGCCCTCAGCCACAGAGCCCCACTATCACCCACAGAGCCCCGCTATCACCCACAGAGCCCCACCCTCAACCACAGAGCCCCACTATCACCCACAGAGCCCCGCCCTCACCCACAGAGTCCCCACCCTCACCCACAGAGCCCCACCCTCACCCACAGAGCCCCACCTTCACCCACAGAGCCCCCACCTTCACCCACAGAGCCCCACTATCACCCACAGAGCCCCACTATCACCCACAGAGCCCCCACCATCACCCACAGAGCCCCACTATCACCCACAGAGCCCCACCATCACCCGCAGAGCCCCCACCCTCACCCACAGAGCCCCGTCTTCACCCACAGAGCCCCCACCTTCACCCACAGAGCCCCACTATCACCCACAGAGCCCCACTATCACCCACAGAGCCCCCACTATCACCCACAGAGCCCCGCCATCACCCACAGAGCCCCACCATCACCCACAGAGCCCCACCATCACCCACAGAGCCCCACTATCACCCACAGAGCCCCACCATCACCCACAGAGCCCCACCATCACCCACAGAGCCCCGCCATCACCCACAGAGCCCCACCATCACCCACAGAGCCCCACCATCACCCACAGAGCCCCCACCCTCAACCACAGAGCCCCACTATCACCCACAGAGCCCCACCCTCAACCACAGAGCCCCACTATCACCCACAGAGCCCCGCCATCACCCACAGAGCCCCACCATCACCCACAGAGCCCCACCATCACCCACAGAGCCCCACCATCACCCACAGAGCCCCACCATCACCCACAGAGCCCCACTATCACCCACAGAGCCCCACCCTCACCTACAGAGCCCCGCCTTCACCCACAGAGCCCCACCATCACCCACAGAGCCCCACCATCACCCACAGAGCCCCGCCATCACCCACAGAGCCCCACCATCACCCACAGAGCCCCACCATCACCCACAGAGCCCCACCATCACCCACAGAGCCCCACCATCACCCACAGAGCCCCACCACTAACCTCCAGTACCACAGAGGTCACCAACACACGCACATTTACCTGCACAACACTTCTCCCGTCCTCTCACCTGCTCACCTAACGTTCATAGCGCTCAAGAGACGATATATTCTGGCACAGGAATACATTTTTAATCCACAAAAGTAAACGAACGCAATGGGAAACACGATCTATTCCGGCAATATTTAATGGAAAATGTTTTTGTTGCTCTGGATATCGGCAATTCTGGCGTGATTTATGTGACCTGCCGCTGGCAACACTGTTTGTATACAGTCCAAAAATTGGCGGGAAAAATAAATGGATATAAAATAAGTATAGGAAGTAAAGCATGTTCTTGCGAGGTGTTGAGGTATGGCAGGTGTTGAGGTATGGCAGGTGTTGAGGTATGGTAGGTGTTGAGGTATGGCAGGTGTTGGGGTATGGCAGGTGTTGGGGTATGGCAGGTGTTGAGGTATGGCAGGTGTTGAGGTATGGCAGGTGTTGAGGTATGGCAGGTGTTGAGGTATGGCAGGTGTTGAGGTATGGCAGGTGTTGGGGTATGGCAGGTGTTGGGGTATGGCAGGTGTTGAGGTATGGCAGGTGTTGAGGTATGGCAGGTGTTGAGGTATGGCAGGTGTTGAGGTATGGTAGGTGTTGAGGTATGGCAGGTGTTGAGGTATGGCAGGTGTTGGGGTATGATTGGTGTTGGGGTATGGCAGGTGTTGAGGTATGGTAGGTGTTGAGGTATGGTAGGTGTTGAGGTATGGTAGGTGTTGGGGTATGGCAGGTGTTGGGGTATGGCAGGTGTTGGGGTATGATAGGTGTTGGGGTATGGCAGGTGTTGGGGTATGGCAGGTGTTGAGGTATGGTAGGTGTTGAGGTATGGCAGGTGTTGAGGTATGACAGGTGTTGACCCACGTTGTGTAGACATCTTGACAACCAACTCCTGGAGTACTGAACAACTGAGATAAGTCATAGAGTCGGTGATGACAAAGATGCTTCCTGGAGCCGCACGCACGCACGGGACACGCACACACGCACGGGACACGCACACACGCACGGGACACGCACACACGCACGACACACGCACACACACGCTAAAAGATAAAAGAAAAAGAGGCGATATGATCACGACATACAAAATAGCAACGAGAACCGACAAAATTGACAAAGAGGAACTCTTGACACCTCCAAGTTCAAGAACAAGAAGTCATAAATTCAAGCTAAGAAAGCAAAGATGCCGAACAAATATTAATATTCTCTTTTGCAGAGTGTTAGACGGTAGGAACAAGTTAGGTAAGAAGGTGGTGGAGGCCAAAATCGTCAGTAATTTCAAAGCGTTATAGGACAAAGAGTACTGGGAAGACGGGACACCACGAGCGTAGCTCTCATCCTGTAACTACACTTAGGTAATCACCCTGTACCACAGACCGTTAAGACCTGGACTGAACTTAACAGTCAGATTCATCAACGGATTTCTCGATGGATTTTTTGAAATAGATTTCAGTAAACAAGATGTATCATTGTTATATCCATTGGAAAAAAAGGCGGAATTGAGGAGCTAAAAATCCACACATGGGAAGACACCATCTTTTGAGTCTCCGGAAATTAAACCACTAAAAGGCTGGAAGGTTCCAGATGAAGTTTTCAGAGGCAGTCAAGACTTATCCACGAGTGGACCCTGTCCATGGTTCCCACTGTCCATGGTTCCCACTGTCCATGGTTCCCACGGTCCATGGTTCCCACTGTCCATGGTTCCCACTGTCCATGGTTCCCACTGTCCATGGTTCCCACTGTCCATGGTTCCCACGGTCCATGGTTCCCACGGTCCATGGTTCCCACGGTCCATGGTTCCCACGGTCCATGGTTCCCACGGTCCATGGTTCCCACGGTCCATGGCTCCCACGGTCCATGGTTCCCACGGTCCATGGTTCCCACGGTCCATGGTTCCCACGGTCCATGGTTCCCACGGTCCATGGTTCCCACGGTCCATGGCTCCCACGGTCCATGGCTCCCACAGTCCATGGTTCCCACGGTCCATGGTTCCCACGGTCCATGGTTCCTTTTTCTTGTCGTTAGGAGAACGGGCTTGTTGTAGAGCAAATGTGGACCTGAGGGCCGCTAGAAACAACAGCCTGTTGGACCAAGTTATCATAAGTCGAGCCTGGGCTCAGGCCGGGCTCTGGGAGGTTAAGAACCCCCCAGGACCTTCTGCAGGTATACTGCAACAGGGGATTGCATTTTTATTCCTAATAATCATATTATTGTTCGTCTTGCGAGGCACTCCTGCCGCAGGACTCGGGGCGATGGCCCTCTTGCCTGGGCTGAGGAGGTCTGGGCCAGTGGTAGGTTGTCACTGCTCTCAGGGTGGCGGCAGTGACTGGCGCTTGTGTCACTGACTGTGGTGAGGACACTGATGCAAGGAAGAGACGGACTAGCAGTGATGACAGTAAATTGCCTGGTGTAGCATTGATGTGGAAGTGACAGTGACCAACGCCAGTAGGCGACAGTGACTGTGTCAGGGGCAGTGACTGGGCTAGGGAGAGTGATGGTCACAGTATTAAGAGCCAATTTTTAGATTAATGAGACTGTTGGTGGTCCCCGGGTGGGCTGGCGGGACAATAATGTGCTAACTGCAGGATAATTAGTCCACATCAACGGTAATTGTTGCGCTGAGCAGTGAGGTTATTAGTGCCCCCCCCCCCCACCCCCCCCCCCCCCCCCCCCACACACACACACACACACACACACACACACACACACACACACACACACACACACACAACAGCAGCACCAGTAGCCGCTCTCCATCTCAACCAGGAAAAAAAAAAATCCTAGGATCCGGGTTGCCTTTTAGTAGCGTGTCATAAATACAGTTGGTGTCACGGAGAAGGAGTAGAGGGGGCAGGGAGAGAGGGGAGAGGGGAGAGGGGCGCGGGGGGAGAGGAAGATGGACGTAAGGGGAAGGAAACGAGAGAGAGAGAGAGAGAGAGAGAGAGAGAGAGAGAGAGAGAGAGAGAGAGAGAGAGAGAGAGAGAGAGAGAGAGAGAGAGAGAGAGAGCGCCTGGCACACAGACACAGACAGGGAGAGAGAGAGAGGGACGGACTTATGGAGAGAGAAAGAGAGAGAGAGAGAAATAGTTTCCCCTCAGCAGGTAGACAAATAGAAGCGAAGGGAGTACTGCTCGTTCACATCCTTGTAGACAGATGAAAGAAGGAGAGGGGCTCTAGGAATAAGAAAGGAAGCAAGGGCAGTAAGACAGGAAAGTTGAAAAGAATGGGGAGGGGAAAATGTGGGGAGAGGAGAAGTATGGTGTGAGGGGAGTAGAGTGAGATGGGAAATATGAGCTTGAGGGGCGAGGAGTGTGAGTGTATGTGTGTGTGTGGGACAACACATATGAGGAGCAGGAGAGGAAATATGAGGAGAGGGGGACTAGAGAATAAATATAGGGAGAGGGAAGTGAGGGGTAGGTGGTGGTATTGGTTGTGAGAGGAGCTGGGAGATGAGAGAACTCTCACCCCATCACTCAACATCCGCATCCATCACTCAACATACGCATCCATCACCACCTTAATCACAAATACACAACATTTACCCCAGGACACAACATTTGGCCTAGAATCAGCATTCAGCCACAATTCACCATTCATCCAGGACTTAACATGGAAGCTCCATCCTTCCCAATCCTACGTACCCTGAATCCATCCCAGTCCCTCCCAATCCTACGTACCCTGAATCCATCCCAGTCCCTCCCAATCCTACGTACCCTGAATCCATCCCAGCCCCTCCCAATCCTACGTACCCTGAATCCATCCCAGTCCCTCCCAATCCTACGTGCCCTGAATCCATCCCAGTCCCTCCCAATCCTACGTACCCTGAATCCATCCCAGTCCCTCCCAATCCTACGTACCCTGAATCCATCCCAGTCCCTCCCAATCCTACGTACCCTGAATCCATCCCAGTCCCTCCCAATCCTACGTACCCTGAATCCATCCCAGTCCCTCCCAATCCTACGTACCCTGAATCCATCCCAGTCCCTCCCAATCCTACGTGCCCTGAATCCATCCCAGTCCCTCCCAATCCAACGTACCCTGAATCCATCCCAGTCCCTCCCAATCCTACGTACCCTGAATCCATCCCAGTCCTTCCCAATCCTACGTACCCTGAATCCATCCCAGTCCCTCCCAATCCCCCCCCCCTTTCCCATGGTGGGTTGGGAGGCAGGCAGGATCACGTCCTCTTGAAAATAATGATCCCAAACCGGCCCAGTCAGTCTTCTGCTCTGCTCTTTACGGCACATGAAAATATATCAAGCAAAAATGTATATATATAAATATAATTGGATTTCAATTGCCGCCATTACGAGGCGGTCTATTAAGGAAATGTCAAGTATTGAACGTTTAATTATTGCGCCCCCTAAGCTTGCATTTCCGCCCCCCATTTCCGCCCCCCATTTCCGCCCCCCCTCCTACCTGCCCCCCCATTAGTGTTCATATTTCATGAACACAGGTTTCAGGTCATGAAGATAATTTGGGTATGGTGTAAACGAGGTAAGGGGGGGGGGGGGGCAGGGAAAAGGGGGGTCTTAGGAGGTCTTTTTTTAGGGGGGGGGGTGTTTGTTGGTCTTGGAGGATCGAAGGTACTCTTTGGAAGGGTCTTGTGGAAGGATATTGGGAGGTCTTGGAGGAGCACACAGCCGCACGCACGCACGCACTGACGCACGCACGCACGCACGTACGCACGCACGCACGCACGCACGCACGCACGCGCACACACACACACACACACACACACACACACACACACACACACACACACACACACACACACGCACGCACGCACACACACACACACACACACACACACACACACACACACACACGCACGCACGCACGCACGCACGTACGCACATCCACACATTATATTGCACCAAGAATAATGAATTTCGTTATTAATAATATGAATAATTAATAATCTAATTTCACCGGGAGGCTGGTCAATGTGTGCTGGTGCGTACACGAATGCGTGCGCGCGTTTGTGAGCATACGCGAATGTGAGTAAGTAATTAGTTTATGGTGCGTGAGTCCCACCTCCCAACTGTCAGGTTGTGTTTGACGTGGTTGGGTGGGGGTCTGAGAAGTGTTGCATATGCCGCTGATGTTTCCCAGTTTGTCTGAGCTTCAGAACATGTTTCAAGTGTGATGTCTACATTTCAGGCCTTTATATCTATCAGATTCCTAGATTTCTCTCCAGTTCAGCAGTGTATATCCGAACTTTACCCAGCACTCACTTTAAATTCCTTACATTTGCTAGAGTTGAACTCTAGCAGCCACTTGCATGCCATCTTGCAGCCGTCTGCCTTACATTTTCTCTTCGTTATTTATGCATCATTTATTGACATGATTAAGGGGGGAGGGGGTCTTAGGTGGACCATTCTCGTGTAGGTGATGTTGTTGTTATAGATTCAGCTACTCGGAACAAGTTCCAAGTAGCACGGGCTATGGTGAGCCCGTAACTCGTGTAGTTGCAAATATGATGGACCAAAAACACGTATCCAAGTCGGATTGCAATAGTTGTTTATTGCAACACCGAGGTTGCAGCGTGGGGTGGGGTTCTGGGCGTGGGTTTTGGGGTTCAGGGCGTGGGTTAGGGGTTCAGACCGTGGGTTAGGGGTTCAGACCGTGGGTTAGGGGTTCAGACCGTGGGTTAGGGGTTCAGACCGTGGGTTAGGGGTTCAGACCGTGGGTTAGGGGTTCAGACCGTAAGTTAGGGGTTCAGACCGTGGGTAAGGGGTTCAGACCGTGGGTTAGGGGTTCAGACCGTAAGTTAGGGGTTCAGACCGTAAGTTAGGGGTTCAGACCGTGGGTTAGGGGTTCAGACCGTAAGTTAGGGGTTCAGACCGTAAGTTAGGGGTTCAGACCGTGGGTAAGGGGTCCAGACCGTGGGTTAGGGTTCCAGGGCGTCGGAAGATGGAAGAGAATAAGAGACAGTCGCAGGGATTAAGCGGGACACGGAAGAGCAGCGCTCTGGCGAGGAAGGCAGCGAAGCTTGTGCAATTCCAGCAAGATAAAGACGATATTTTGATAACATCAGCACAGCGTCGCAATATGACGGCCACCAGCGGAGGAACATTCCCCCATATTACTCCTCTTCTCTTGTCATGTGGAAGGAACACGCCAAACACATACCGAAACTACGACGTTGGTACAACGTTCGAACAAGTTTTAACACCTCCTAACCAGTTATAACAACCAATATAGCAAGTTTTAACACCTCCTAACCAGTTATAACAACCAATATAGCAAGTTGTAACAACGTTCTAATACGTCATAAACACATTAAGCCAAGATGTAACAACTTTATTACAAGTTGTAACAAGCGGAAAATAGAGACAGTTACGGTTTGTGTTTCCAGGGAACACGCAATACTATTGACCAAGGAACAATAAAGATATTGAAACATCACAATACAAATGTTTATTAAAACACACAAATCACAATAGCCTGATGCATCAGATGAGCGTGTCGAGGCCTAGTCGACTCAGGCAGCGTCTGGGATCATCCCAGCCGTAAGTTCGAACCCTCATCACGGCCCTTGTGGATGTTGTTGTTATAGATTCAGGTACTCGGAACAAGTTCCAAGTAGCACAGGCTATGGTGAGCCCGTAACTTACCTGGCACAGGAGCGGGGCAAGTAGCACGGGCTATGGTGAGCCCGTAACTTACCTGGCACAGGAGCAGGGCAAGTAGCACGGGCTATGGTGAGCCCGTAGTGGACTTACCTGGCACAGGAGCGGGGGCAAGTAGCACGGGCTTTGCGAGAACGGGTTGGGTGGGCCCGTAACTTACCTGGCACAGGAGCAGGGCAAGTAGCACGGGCTATAGTGGCCCTGTAAGTTACCTGGCACAGGAGCGGGGCAAGTAGCACGGGCTATAGTGGACCCGTAACTTACCTGGCACAGGAGCGGGGCAAGTAACACGGGCTATGGTGAGCCCGTAGTGGACTTACCTGGCACAGGAGCGGTGCTGACGGATTGTGAC